TGTTCTGTTTCAGGGGAGCAATGATGAAATATCAGACAACGAAGAGGAGATAGAGGAGAAGTCGGAGAGCGAAGGAAGTGACTATTCCCCCAACAAAAAGAAGAAGAAAAAACTGAAAGAAAAGAAGGAGAAAAAGCCAAAACGGAAAAAGAAGGATGAAGAGGAGGATGATGATGATGGAGGTCTAAAGGTACCAAAGACGCTTCTGTCCAGAGTCCTGCTGGTCTTAGGAGATGCTTATCCGTCCCAGTCTGGGTTTATTTGTCTAATTGAGGCTATATAAAGCAAGGGGAGCAGCAGCCGCTGCCGCAGGGCTCCTGCGTGTTAAACACGGGTGCGTCTGTGGTCGCAGCAGCCGTGGCCCAGCCCGGGACAGCCTCGCTCGTGGCCCCGAGCGCAGACGCGGCCCCTCGCTCAGGTCCCGCTGCTGCTTCACGTCCCGCGCAGCCGACGTCCCTGCACGGGGACGGGGACGGCGCTTTGCGCTGCAGGACGGGGGCAGCGGCTGGAGGGTGCCATGCTCGCCGCTCCTCAGCAGCGTGTGGAGCAGGAGCTTTGTGAGCCCTCCTGTCCCGGCGCCGCGGGGACGAATCCCACGCGCTGCCGCGTGGAGACAGCGTCTGGTCTGGGCACCCGGCGGGCGCTGCCGCTTTGGAGCGTCCCGGCTGTTCACGTTAATGACGTCTCCTTGCAAATCTGCAGGAGCCCAAGAGCTCAGCGCAGCTCATGGAGGAATGGGGCCTGGATGACGTGGATTACGTCTTCTCGGAGGAAGACTACCACACCCTGACTAATTACAAGGCTTTCAGCCAGTTCCTCAGGTAGGAGCGCGGCCGCCCGCCGGGGCGGTCGTCGCTGCGGCCGGGTGGGGAGGCTCTGCGGGTCCCCCAGAGCCTGTGCCGGGGCAGTGCGAGCTGGGCCCTGCGTGGAGCCCGTGTCCTCCCTGAGTTCCGTGACCGGCGCAGGGCTCGGGATGCCATTTTGGCTAGAAAGCAGCAGCAAGGTTTTTCTTTCTTACACAGCCTGTTTCTGCGTGCATTTTTTTGGTTGTGCTCTGAGCCATTCAAACCGGGGCTCCAGGGCCAGATCAATCTCTGAGAAGTTTAAGGGTTTCTCCTTCTGTGCTTTTTTTCGAAGGAAGTTGTGTTTTCCGCTGATTTTCAGCCCAGCTGGTGCCCGTGGGCCGTACCAAGAGGCTGCGGTGGCCGAGGCGCGTGGAGGGCTGCGGGGCCCTTGTGCAGCGTGCGCAGCCTCTGGCGACTCGCGGCTGTCCT